TTTAGTTATGCTTTCTTGAAAGTGCCACTGACGGACAACTTGCTTTTACTGTCTCACTATTTCGGGATGTGTAAACTTTTGCATTGGTATCCCCCCTTTCTCTGGGGACCTTTTAACTAAGAAAAAATAATGTTCGTTCTAACTTTCCATTCAGTCATTTTACAACGGTGCTATTATCTACTTAACAATGTTATTTACAAGTCTAGTGCAATATGTACCTGTAAAAGTGCACCATTCCAGGTGCCAATCTGTGACTTAGGTTAAAAAAAAAAAAAAAAAATCACATTTGTCTGTTGTTACCACTTTGTCTCACTAATGCTTGAAATGTTATCGACCTGAATATGAGCTACAAGGTTCTGGGAAAGGTATGCGCGGATACTGACCACTTGGCTGCTCTGTCCTTTGCTAAAGGGAGCAACAACCCTGTTGCTTTGCAGATTTTCTCACGGTAGAATAGCCATTGCCACTTGCACTCCCAGGAAAGCGATTCCTCTCACACCAGGCAAGTAGCACACTGCTGAAGTTAATCCACATGCATCACGCCGCATGTCCCTCTGCAAAGGCACATCCCTGAGAAAACAGCAACAATTTGGTCACCAGCTGAGCAACTGTTACCCTTAAATTTTCCTAAGGCCTGCTCTATGGTCAACGACATGTAGCAAGAACCGGGACTTGGGATTGTTCTCCAGATGGACTGTACAAGATATTTAAACAACTTTTCTTTTTCTATTCCTGTTTTGTTTGTTTTTCTCCTTAAGCCTGTCCTGTGTTTCTGCCTCTTGCCACCCAGGGCTTCCTTTTAAAACCACACCAATCCCTGAGATGAAGAAACAGAAAAAGGAAATTTACAGTTGGAAGGCCAGTGCCTCGGCTACTGCCCGGCTGGGGCTGGCTCGTACTCCTCCCAGGGATCTTCTCCACAAAAAACTCCAGGTTTCACGTAAAGACGAAACCTTGTCAAGCTGAAGGGCTGCCCCAGTGTCTGATCCCACTGGACGTTTGCAGTTCCTGAGGGCAGGGGCTGTCGGGGCCATTCGGCTTTGATCACACTGGGTTATCTCCCAGCAGGAACGGGAGCCAGACACAGTCCCTAGAGTCAAAAGCAGATGCTCACATGTTTTCTTCAAGCCCAGGCTTGGGAGGAGGGTGGTAGGATGGGGCCCATCTCTCCTTTACTGAGGCGTCGTTCCTGTGGAGAACAGCAACGAACTCGAGCTGGTGCCACGCAAGGCCCCAGCCAGCAGCTGGCTCTGGCTCCCACCGCGCAGCACCGCGCACGCTACCTGCGCCAGGGCCAGGAGCTCCTTGTGCCCCAGACGTGCGCTGGGGTGGAAGCTTCACCCTATTACTCAGCAAAGCGACTTATTTATACTGTGTTCTAACCTACATCCTATCTCTTTTTGTTCCGTTTTATTCAACATTTCTTGTTCTAGCTGGCAAAAGGCGATGACAAAAGTATTCACTATAACCACACCGAGACACAAACTCACTCAGTGCTGTAGATACTGTTTTGCAATTTCACTTTCCCTTCACGTGCAGAGCATAAACCATAATCAACCTTCCGCAGCTATATAACCCATTACATTTACACAGTAATTGAAAGGCAAAGATATTACACGCACATAGAGTTAGGCTAGAAAAAACGATGCACAGAATGAGGGAGGGTGTTCATTAAACCGGACACTGTCAGGAAGAATTTGTTTTCTGGAGTACTGAGTACGTGATATTCGCCAGTAGAAAGGATTATTTTCTGTCGTGTGTGTGAGCGCGTGGGATTTTGGTTTCAATCACAATAATAGAAAAGGTTGGGTTGGATGAAGTATGTCTATTTTTAATTATGAAAACTGCATTACAATGTGCATTTTTATATACAAATTCTTACTATTTTTTTTAAATTTGCCTCTAGTATCTTCATTTCTAACCTAGTATATAGAGGTTTTTAGTTTTGTAAATACTTATTACATGCACTGTCATAGTAAAAGTTGGTTTAAAATGCACTCTTTTGTGATCAGAAACTGGCCTTCTCTTCAGAACTAAAACTACAGTACTTGATTGTATTGACAAAACATCAATAAAACTTATTGTATAAAAGGTGGTCGCAGCTGTGCCTTTGTCCTGGTGTTCACGGGCTTGCGCAGCCTCGCTGGTGACCATTCATACCGACCTCCTGACCTGTATTTCCTTCGCAAGCCCAGCTCCCCTCTTCCTAGCAGCGCAGCAGACTTGCTTGCCAATTCCCGTTCTTATGGAAGAAGGCATTGCCTCTTTCTTGTGGTTAGGGAGAAGATTCCTGTCTCCAGAAGTTCATTTTTAAAAAAGGATGAAATCTGGACCCTTCCAGACTGGCAATTATTAATTTGAGGAATTTAAGTCAAAGTGGTGGGGGCTCCCTTTCCTTTCTGTGTTTTTTCCATTACACCTTTTTTTGCTATGTTATACAACCTCGTCTACAGCCAACGTTCGCATACCGAGCAGCAAAACCAGTCAGTTCAGCGGCAGACAGAAGAAATGGTGAATCACCTGTAAGCAAACCACTTTCAGAGACGAAAAGTAAAAAGAATAAAGAGAGGAAAATATGCTTTCTCACCTGATCTCTTATCTGGAAGAGAAGACGTTACTTGTTAAAAGCAGAACACTTCCAGGGAAGCCTGGCTGCCACGCAGGCAGACTCCTTCAAGAGCTGACGATGAAGAACCAGCGATGCTCCTGCTGCAAGTCGCAGGGGAACCCAACACTGCTGCGTGATCATCCCACGCTGGGCTCCAGCAGCCAAACCTCTTCCATGCACTGCCCCTCGCTGCAAACAGCCTACAAGCCCCAGCCAGCAAAGGGCCTCTCCAGCAAACCGCCCTGCGACGCACGCGATTGACGCTTCCAACTCACCCTGCTGTTAACAAGAACCACTTTTACCAACTTTGGCTGCCCTGTACTGCTCAAAGGCACGAGTAGCCACCTGAAAGTAGTTTTTACAGCAGATTTCCAGTGCTAAAACTCACCCCAAACAAAGCACGAGCCTCAGCTACACGCAAGATGTCTCTAACCAGCACCGAACAACTTCCATTCTGCTTCCTACAGAAAGATTTCAAGGAGCCATTAACAAAGTAGTTTCAGGTTGAGTCTTAACAGTATGGGGTGGGGAGAAATAGCCCAGAGGTTTTCTTACAACTCCTCTTGTCATGTAGTATGGAAGAACAACTGCATGACTTGAATGAAAAGATGGGAGCAGTGGCTAATTAACAAAGATAACTAAGTGATTTTATTTCTTTCCAAGAAAGTCAGAGCTAAATGTTTTCGTACACATTTAAATTCTGGCCTAAAATGAGCTACATTTTTTAGACAGGAGCTCTTCTGCTCTTCGTGAGTTCCAAACATTTAAAATTATAAAGCTGCTTTAAAAGGAAAATATCTTCTTTTAAATAATTCCGTGAATACATTCACATCTCTGGCAGAATAACGTGAAAAACCTGACATTTTACATCTCAGATCTGCAGCACAATAGATATACAATAGACCAAAACTGCGCATATTCTCAGACAAGATACTCATTTATACAAGGAAAACCCATTAAAGCATCGCACAGAAAACTGGCACTTGAAGGAAGGAGAGTACAGGAAAAACTGGAACAACACACCGCGGCCGGATTTTCCGCATGTGCATGCAGCCTGACGCACACAACAACCACGTGCCGGTACCAACAGGGGCTGAGCTCCGTTTGAGCACAACGGTCACTTCCCGGTGTCACAAGGAATACTAGAGATTACAGAGAATTACACTGCCACATTCAAACTTAGACACATTTCCCTATGACTGCTTGTCTCTTTCAATTATTAAAAAGCTTTTAACCCTTTTCAGACATGCCATACCCAAGCTGTTACTCCATTGTTGACCAGCTCCATTGGGCAAAGGTTTTAAGCTTGAAACTCTGGAACGACACGGCTTTGCTTGAATATTCTTGGCCACCAGTGCCAGCTTCAAACGCACAAATTCTTTTAAACTCTGGTAAGTTCTCCCCCAATTAACCTACCTTTCCCTTTATTTTCAGATGATTCTTACCAAGTACAGAGTTTTAAAACTGTGAGAAATAACTCCTGCTTCCCGCTGACATAATTTTTATCACTGACTGCAGCAGAACTAGGAATTCAATCCTTGTGTAACACCAGGTTTCACAACTATCTCCATCCACAGAATTAAACACCAATCTCACTTGATGCTCTGGACATACATAGGACAGGATTAAAAACGCAGGATGCATGGATTAGGAACAAAGGCTGGAGTAGGTGCAGCAATGTGAAAGCCAGCTACGTAAGGGACACAAAATGCAACAGATGAGGACAGCACCAGGTGGATCACAGAGCCAAGGACACCAAAGAAACAGTAATTCATTACACCCTCTTCCAGCAGCAACAGTGAGCTAGCTGGGGTTCTGTCTGCATGCACCAGAGGCATTTCTCACGATGCCACTAGCAATGCAAAGAAACCCCTTCTCCAGTCTCTGGCACTTTTCATTCTGCCTTTAAGGAAAGGAACCTCCCTGGGAGGTCTATCCTCCAGCGTCTGCGCCCCACAACACAGGTGGTGACCCGTGCCGCCATGCAGGACGTCCTCAGGGACCTGTGCGTCTGCTGACTCTCATCGACAGCCCGTAGCTGGTCAGCTGGGTGTCAACTGGTGTGGAGCCTATCAAAGCCACTGCAGGACAGGTAACAACAACTCAAAGGCCACGGCATACAGGAGCAGAGGAAAACAGCAAGAAAATCAGTAGATTCCGACACCCACCTAGTAACTGTAATGACAAACGACCTAATGGCGGGACAAAGCAAGCAGCAGACACATTATGAAGAACTTGACGCTCCTGTACACTTAGAGCAGACGCGCCACATGCAGCCACTTCCCAGCTGACCCATAACTGAAGGGTATGTCCCCTCTCTTCCAAACCAGCTCATGCTTCCAGCTCTCCACTTGCAGCAGCAGACGTCTTTCTCAGGGGAGGCTGGCTGGCGTCTGCAGATGGTGCGGATCCACCGCCAGACTTCTGACCAGAGAAGCAACGGTGACCACCCACTTCGCCTTCAGACAACACGCTCCGCTTGGAGCTCAGAGCCGCTGGCAGTACAGTTCATACAAGCTATTTGCCAGCTTCTGTGTCTCTTGAAAAGCTTCACAGCTCTGCTCCCAGCTTGGGGGTATCTGCTCCTCCCCATAATAAGCCCCTGCAATGGCTCCTGCCATGGTAGCAATGGTGTCTGTGTCTCCACCCAGAGAGATACAGTAGATGATGGTCCTCTGCAGGTTGCTGTAGTGATCAGGAATATCTGGGTCAGCTTCCATACAGCGCAAGAAGGAGTAAATTGCAGTAGGGACAGACCGCAAAGCGGCAATGCCATTGCCTGTCAACAAAACCAATCATCTTCAGTGCTGCAGAACACTCGGGTCTTCCTTCCCACAGAAGAACCCCTTCCCTTCTAACCGCAACTTCTATCACTAGTTACTTTCAATACCAGTATCACTAATTTTGTCATGACAAAGTGCAAAAGTAAGTTTGCATCTCAGAAGAGAAAGCTCCCTGAGTTTCCCAGTACTACTCACATCCTACAGACCAACTCCTTGCTACACCAATACAGTCTGGCAATGCACATCTCCCCATTCCTGTCCAATGTGATAGCCTTTAAGACAAGAGATCTCAGAATATTAAGTAACATTATTCATTACAGGTTTTTCTTAGCAAGACATTTTTTTCCCCACCAATACAGAGAGGGAAAATTACTGACTGGTGAGCACAGGCAGTCTTTCCAGCACATTCTGTGCCTGACAGGCAGCAGAGGCCAAAGTGGCAATCTGGAGGAGGACACACCAACCAGGCTTCCCGAGCTAGTCCTGCTTCCAGCTCTGTCCTAACACTTGTAGTAATAAAGGTACTTACCTAATTCAAACAATACATCTGCTTTGGGAACGCTGCTGAGCTCCAAAAATTCCTTTATTTTCTTTAGACGCCTTGAAAATGGTAAATCCTCAAATCCCAGCCTGGGGGTGGGTGAGAAGAGTACAATGAAGAAGAGAGAATGCGAAGAGCCAGAATACGCTGTACACAGCAGAGTTAATGCTCCTCACAGCTACTTACGCTCGGGCTTCAGTAAGAGACTTATCGTCTGCCTCTACGTCCTCCATGTGGCTAATGAGCTGCTCCAGGAAGGTCTCCTTGCTGAGTTCCCCCTGCAGGGCGAGATGCACTGCCAGGGCCTGCAGGATGGCCCCGTTGTAGCCCAGGGAGTTGGCATGGGTTAACTCGGCACTCAGCTTTGCAAACTGCGAATGAAAAGACATCGTTAGCGAACCTGCCTGAGAGATCACGTCGAAACTCACCTGACAGCAGGGACTCCCAGAGCCAAGGTGCCCAAAGGAGCCAAGAACGGTACCTTCTTAACGTCCTGCACATCAGAATACACGAGGGAGATGCCTGCCACCCTCATGGCACCGCCGTTGCCATAGGAGCCTTTCCCATTAAACTGGGCTCTGGCTGGTTCAAACACATCATTGCACTTGGGGCTCAGGAGCTTCTTGAAGACATTGACGACAGCCATCCCATAACCGCGGTTGGGTTCCTTCTTGTACTCCTCAGCAAACCTGGTGTAGGCAAGAGAGCAGCAGTCACGCAGGTGAGAAAAAACAGGCCGGGTATTTGGTCTGTTATTGGAGTTTGTATAAAGCCACTTGATAAAGCGAACACATGGGTAATTCAGCGACAGTCGGGGTTCAAGTGACTCAGTCCTGTAGGGGAAGAATCCAGTTCCCAAAAATTGGTGTGAAAGAAGGAAAAGGTGTATACACATCATCTTTCACAAATCCCTGCTTCCCTCTCAACCTTGCCTTGAAATAGAAGCAAACTGGAAACATTTCTGTGGGTCACAACCACAAGGAAAGTCTTTTGTTCAAGTTCAATGGAAGAGTTTTCTAAACAAATAAATATTCTCCCTTAAGTGGAACCAAATGCTACCAGGGTGGCTGTGGATTCAAAAGGGAAATGGATCATAAACAAACCGAAACTGACCTCACTAATATTCACTAAGTTAAGGGAAGGACAAACGTAAATAGCAACAAATAAACACAAAAGGAAATGCTTCTGAAATTTCTAAGCATTATCTTCCACAAAGGTGAATATACATACATGGCTGCAATACAGCACGTCCCATCCTGCCTCCCTTCAAAGCAGACTCTGGACCCACCCCACAGCTAATGCTGCTGCGTGTTCCAGAACAGTGCAAAGCACACAATAAATTACAGGATTAGCCATCGCTGTTCTCATTTTTTTTCCCTCCACAAATTAACGATGACTTTGTCTTCGCCCCCATCTCCTTTCACAGAAAACTACACTGATTGCTGTCACTTAAGAAAGCTTTACCTTCACTAGTAAATGTCAACACCTGGCCTCCACTGCTGGCTGCAGTCCTTACCTCTTGGCCATGTCGACTTCATCGAACTCTTGCTTGGCTAGCAGGGACTGCACCACCGACCTGCTCATGGCCGTGTCGTCCGTGTACGAAAGCGTTTCTAAAACAGAAGGTCAAAATGTAATGTGATCATCCAGGGACAAACTCTCCTCCTGTCCTGCTCCACTGTCAGCACTTCTCTCCGGGGCCTGATTATCTGTATAGCTGGAGTTAAAATATTATCAGAAGTTCCCCAGCACTGTGAGCTTGTCACTAGCCACGGTCATCAGAGTAAGAAGACACAGAGCAAGAGAGATGCATCCACAGTGAGCGTGAGACAGTATGCACTACAAGGTTAATAAGAGCCAAGAAAAAAGTATGATATCCAGAGGCACATATGGACAAGCGAGACAAAGTCTCTTTTTCAAGGAGTTTACAGCGTACACTGACAAGCAGAGAAGAAAAAGCACAGCTGCATTTCTGGACAAGACCACAACAAAATCAAGTGTCTTTAAGATCCTACTGTAAGGGCTTACAGGGCTTGCTGCACAGCTCAGAGCCCCAGTACGAATCCATCATCACTTGTTAAGAGTTAAATAACCATTCTACTCTCTCCTTATCAATTTCTGGTACATCTGTTCCTTGCTGACACCCCTGCACTGTGACGCCCTGGTTCCCAGCACGCTACACACCTCAGCTTCACTCCAGGACAAGCAGCTGGCTGTGCACAGCAAACCGCTCATCCCTCCCCACCAGCCACCAGGAACTGCCCTGGGGGAGCCAGAACCTCATCCCGGGGAAAGGGGGGAGGGAGGGGGGGCAAACCCCACAGGACAGGGGAAACAGGCTGGGGACAGCCACGGCTGTCC